CACACACACACACACACACACACACACACACACACACACACACACACACTGGTTATACAACAACACAAGACTCAAGACATAATGTAATGTTTAGTCTCATGCAGACTTATGACACACAGCTGATCACAGAAATGTACTTCCAGGCTGCTTTGTATTTCCTCTGAGGTTACAGAAACTTACACGCCTCTCTATTTCCAGATCTGGTTCAACAACAAAGGCTGGCACAGCATCGGTTCTTTCCTCAATGTGATGAACAACGGCATCCTGAGGGCGAGCCTGCAAGACGACCAAGACCCCACGAAGTTTGGCATCACCGCCTCCAATCACCCGCTCAACCTCACCAAGGAGCAGCTGTCACAGGTCGCATTGTGAGTATCGAGGGAGTGCGCGTATAAAGTGACAACATTTCTTTGGCCTTCTCGAGGAGACATCGCCTGTCATTCTCACGCCTCCCTTCGCTCTGTTCCCAGGATGACGACGTCGGTAGATGTGCTGGTTTCCATCTGCGTGATCTTCGCCATGTCCTTTGTCCCGGCCAGTTTTGTGGTCTTCCTCATCCAGGAGAGAGTGAACAAGGCCAAACACTTGCAGTTCATCAGCGGAGTGCAGCCCTTACTCTATTGGCTGGCCAACTTTGTCTGGGATATGGTAAGACATTTCAGTCCAGCTGGACCCTGAGCCCCATTGTCCCCTCCTCAGTTTAGATTAAATATTAGTGATGAAAGTCTAAATATTACATTATTGTCTTGATAGAGTGTAATACTATTGTTCACCCTCCTTCGCTTCCTCTCTTGCAGTGTAACTACATCGTCCCAGCCACACTGGTCATCATTATCTTCATGTGTTTCCAACAAGACGCGTACGTCTCCTCCACCAATCTGCCCGTGCTGGCGCTGCTGCTGCTGCTCTACGGGTATATTTGACACACGCTCAGTTTGTTTTGGCTCTTACTTTCTCTAATTCTCTAACCTCGGCTAATCAACCATGATCTTTGTTGCTCCCTCCAGATGGTCGATCACCCCTCTGATGTACCCGGCCTCGTTCTTCTTCAAGATCCCCAGCACGGCCTACGTGGTTCTGACCAGCGTTAACATCCTGATTGGGATCAACGGCAGCGTCTCCACTTTTGTGCTGGAGCTGTTTGGAAGCAATGTAAATAATGTCTCCAAGTCATTTTGATTCAGTTAGCTAGAGTAGCAACAGATTGTTTGTTGATTCAAGAGTGTGAAGAGAGAGAGAGGCTTTTGAATGCAAACTTAGAAATGAATGATTGAATATTAACTGTTGATATTCACTTTGTTCCTTTTTAAGGAAATCGGTGGGATCAACGACATCCTGAAGAACGTGTTCCTCATCTTCCCTCACTTCTGTCTGGGCAGAGGACTGATTGACATGGTGAAGAATCAGGCAATGTCAGACGCTTTGGAGAGATTCGGTAATTACAGCAGACCTCTTTTACCCACTACCCCAAATGTATCCCGATTTGTTTTGACAAGGGACGTGATCTACATTTTCTAAATATTCTCTGGTTGTGGTCATGTCTCTGTAGGTGAAAACCGGTTCCGCTCCCCTCTGGCCTGGGACATGGTGGGAAAGAACCTGTTTGCAATGGCCATAGAGGGCGTGATCTTCTTCACCATCACCGTCCTCATTCAGTACCACTTCTTCTTCAAGGCCAGGTGGGTAAAACCTTCAATACACAAAAAAAGAATCATTCCTCCAGAGTTTTCCTTATAACGCAGTATCCGTAACTAAAACATTACAACTCAAATCAAGTGGATCTGGCTTTGAATCCCCTCTGGGTGAAAGCTTCAACTAAGTCTCTCCTCCCTTTGCTGACCTTCCAGGTCTTCCACCAGTCACCTGAAGCCTATTGGAGAAGAAGATGAGGATGTGGCCAGAGAGCGACAAAGGATCCTGAGCGGAGGAGGACAGTCCGACATCCTGGAGCTCAGAGAACTCACCAAGATCTACAAGAGGAAACAGAAGCCGGCAGTGGACCGACTGTGTGTTGGCATCCCGCCTGGAGAGGTACGATACAGACAGCGTGCAACAGACGGGATTCTAAACCAGCAAAACACGGGGCTTTCTTTAGTACAGTTAAAAAAAGTTTGTGTTTTGTTTAGAAATGTGTTTTGTAAAAGGATGATACAGTAGATGCAATGAATGTAGTAAAGAAAGTGTATATTATTATACGTGAAAATAAACATACGGTGTTTCTCTTGTCCTGCAGTGCTTCGGTTTGCTGGGCGTGAACGGGGCAGGCAAAACCAGCACCTTTAAAATGCTGACAGGAGACTCTCTGGTCACCGGCGGAGAGGCTTACCTGGCTGGCAAGAGGTAAGACACATACCCCCTCAAAATATACAATACATCTAAACATCTGTATTAGAATGTATTATATTATTCCAGTCTGGCAAATAGTAGAAGTCACAATGATATGGTCTTAGGATCAATGATGCAATTTAAAGGCACTTGAAATAAATATTGCAATAATAAGCAAATTCTTAAAAAAAAATGTAAACTACAAGGCTACATTTAGTTAAAACTGTATATTTTTGCTTTCTATGGAACTTAATTCCACTCTCATGTTTATCTCACCTCAGTGTAACGACAGAGATCGATGAGGTGCATCAGAACATGGGCTACTGTCCTCAGTTTGATGCCATCAACGACCTGCTGACCGGCAGAGAGCACCTCGAGTTTTACGCCATCCTGAGAGGAGTGCCTGAGAAGGAAGTCTGTGAGGTCAGTAACAAACACATGTTTGGGCCTACATGATTTACTATGACATGATGTATTGAACTTATTGTGTTGGTCTTTTATATATAATATAATAACTCTACTTTTGGAGTCGTGGTTTTCTGAAGTTAAGTGGGATATAAAGGTCTATACAAATAAACAAACAGACTCTATTATATGTCAGTCAATATGCATGTACAAAAGAAAAAGAAAATGGTTGACATGAAAACTTTATCTTGTCCACTAGGTGGCAGAGTGGGGCATCCGGAAGCTGGGTTTGGTCAAGTATGTGGACAAGTCAGCAGGCAGCTACAGCGGAGGAAACATGAGGAAACTGTCTACTGCCATCGCTCTCATAGGAGGACCACCTGTAGTCTTTCTGGTCAGTAGAACATGTTCACACGTACACAACATACTTCTGGCTTATTTTGCGTAAAGCAGGGCAGCAGTGTGAAAGTACATTGTAGCAGCAGCTGAGTATCTGTTGCTTCCTGTTCACAGGATGAACCGACAACAGGCATGGATCCTAAAGCCCGTCGTGCCCTGTGGAACGCAATCCTGAGCATCATCAAAGAGGGTCGATCTGTAGTCCTGACCTCTCACAGGTTAGACTTGCCATCTGAATTACACCTTCTCAATTAATGGAACTATATATTTTTGTTGTTAATTGACGTGGTTACCTCAACATGACTGACCTCATCCTGGTGTGTTCCCGTGTGTTTTTTTTTTTTTTTTTTCAGCATGGAGGAGTGTGAAGCACTTTGCACCAGAATGGCCATCATGGTCAATGGCAGGTTCCGCTGTCTGGGCAGTGTGCAGCATCTCAAAAACAGGTGGGGACACTTGACAAAATAGCACTTCACGAAAGCTCAAGCATATGAGAAATGAAAAAGAATCGCAGTTTTCATCAGACTGTCACTTGGAAGGTTCTATTGAATGAAATGTGCTTCGCTGCATTCTCACCAGGTTCGGTGATGGCTACACCATCATCCTGCGGGTGGCTGGCCCGGACCCAGACCTTCGGCCGGTGATGGAGTTCATCGAGGAGGAGCTGCCTGGCAGCACGCTGAAGGAGCAACACCGCAACATGCTGCAATACCAGCTGCCCTCCTCCCTCACCTCCCTCGCCCGCATCTTCTCCCTGCTCTCTAAGAACAAGGAGGCCCTCAGCATAGAGGACTACTCCGTCTCACAGACAACTTTAGACCAAGTAAGCAATTGCACCCCGAAGCTCTGACTATAACTGGACCCTGACTTCAGTACGGGCTGAGTCTAAATTTCCCTTTCCTCTTCTTTCCCCCCCCCCCGCAGGTGTTTGTAAATTTCGCCAAGGACCAAAGTGATGAGGACCATTTGAAAGAGGCCCATCTGAATAAACGGGATGCTGTGGTAGTGGACATTTCCAAGCTTAACTCTTTCCTCACGGACAAGACCAAGGAGAGCTGCGTCTGATTCCACAACATGGCATCATGGGAGTCGCTTCGCTTCACCCACCCCAGAACACATGGACCACTAACCAGCGAGGGGAGACGAACTATGTTCATTTTGTTATTTCTATTTTTTAGTCTTTTTTAATTGTTGTCATTTCTCAGTGGACCTGCACTTCAGCGCACAGCCTCTTGAAAAGGCAGAGACTGCGGGGTATTGTGACACTGAAGCAATGAAAACTCAATGCAAATCAATGCAAGAAATATACCAGAATATATTTAAGATGAGAAGATATTCCTGTGAGGCTTGGAGACTGGTGCTTCTCCTTCACTAGATGGACGGATGGAAAGAAAGAAAAGACTGAAGCAACAGCGGGATTATAATGCTGCGCTCGACTGGAAGGTGTAATAACCCTGCGAGGCTCTCAATGGACATGGCATCGGGGATCATGGAAGGAAATATCTGTAGGTTTGAATCCCCGTTCCTGAAAGTAGTTTGCAGTAGTCAGTGGGACTGTGTACGTGGGCGGGCGGCTCCGTATCGTGAAATCACCGCAGCGTAAAACGGAACAAGACAAAAATCCAGATCATTCACTGCCAACTGCTAAAAGACGGACCGACTACTTTTTTATTCAGGGTCAGACCTCTCTCTCTCTCAAGCTCTCTCTTTATTACCAAGCGCAGTTGTTTTTATCATGCAAATGATGGTAAAAAGAAAAAAAAGCATTTACGATCCAATTGATTTCAGTCACAATCATGCAACATAATAATTTGTACTAATCGGGTTTTCTAAGGTAATTTATTTCTAATAGACAAACTTAACCTCTACGGAGTTTTTCTTTTCTTTGTTTGGGTAATAATTAAGATTGATAACCAAGCTGTCTTTTTTATATTTGTTCTTCGTGTCCTTGACGTTGTCCAGCACAGTGCCTATACTGTATCAAGGTGCAGAGAGAAATCTGAGCACCCCATTAAAAACAACAACAACAATAATGTATGTAGGCTGCCCAGGAATGTATAAGACGGATACCATCAAAGCACAAAAAAAAAGGGGCTTTTTGTGAAGAGGGTCAATGAAACGTGACTGTTTTTTTTTTATTTTCTTTCATTGTCAAAAACAAAACGACAACAAAAAAAATCTTGTGGTTGCTTGATGTCTGTACAAGACGTGCAGTCTGCCGTCCTGGCTTGTTTTTGACTCGCCCTGCTTCGCTCTAAACGAACTGAAGGCTTATCAGAGTGGACGGAAGGATCGCAAACTGGCAGTTGGGACTTCAAGAGAAGGCTGAATGTCGCTCAAAGAATTTGGACAGGTTTTTGAAAGTTCCTTGGAAATATATACTTGCATGCTTTCCACCGGGCCACACACACACACCTGTACTATCAGCACTTCTGTGTGTGCGCCGAAGCATGCCGTAAGATCAGCTTGTAAAAGGGCTCGAGTCCTGCTTCAATATTGTGGGATTACTGGCACATCGTGTATATGTGGAGTCTAAATCCATAATTCTGTTGTTAATCAAAAAAAAAAAAGCAATCTGTATCAAAATGGGATTGTTGGCGGTGAGATGAGTCAGATGGAAATGCTCCTGCAGATCAAACTGTAGCTCTAAAGATGGTGATTTTTCCAGTGACGCGCGCTTTTATACATGTGAGGGCACGACGGGAGCGTTCAAGACCTGAGCCAGCACCGATGTTATGTACAAAAAAAATAATAATGTTACCAGTGGAGTGAACAAACCGTATCTGTGCCAAATGGAGCTGAATATATATATCTTTGATCCACCAGCATAACGTGGAGGAGGCGACTGTTTTGTAAAGTTGTGCTTTCATTCCAGGCCTTCATCCGCAGTCAGCAGCTCGAAACTAAAAAAGCACACATTTTGACACAATGTGTGCTTTTTTATTCACTCACCTCTTTTTGTTTTTTTTCACTTATTTTTTTATTTTTTTTTGTTATCTTCTAGTCATGTTGCCAAAATTCTAATCTTTCCGTTTGTCCACATCGATAAGCTGCCACTCTGACGTTAACTGCACTGTTGGTTACTCACATTTTTAGATGTGGGGTTGAGATGCTTCGGACTAAATTTATGTTTCACGGACAAGTCGACAAGCCAGACTACACAGAAACAGGGACCACGTGAATTAGAGTTGTGCTTGTAATGCTTTATAGTCCAGGAAACCGCATCCAGGGTTTCAACTGAGGACGGATTGTCATTATGGGTTCTCTTGTATCACATCAGATCTTGGAACGCACCAAAACCCTCAGCGAAATGTGAGCACTTTATAGACTTCATAGCCTGTTGTGTCAAAGACGTATTCGTAGGGATTTGGTACATTTTAACAATTCTCTGCACTAGAACACAGGTATAATTCAGACGAAATGAAGCTACACCACTGCATTAAAACATCCGTTTGAAACTTGAAATCGAGATGGACGGCTTCCACGTGATTGAGATAAAGAGAGACATGCAGGACTGAATTACGGTGGTGATTTTTCTCTTCTCGTGCTCTATATTGTTATTATATGTTTACATTTTTAAGTATTAAACAGCTGTTTGAGTCTGTTACGCATTGTCTATAGTTACTCTTTACATGAATAAATAAAAAAAAAAATCATACCTTTTGGAAAAAAAAAACATCTGAGTTGATTATTTTGCATTTTGTTTGTCTGGTCGTGTGGTAGATGCAACAAAGCTTGTTGTCAAAGGGAAGTTAGTATAATGACTGAACAAAAGGTTACTGTGTGCGTGTGCGTGTGCGTGTACGTGCTGATTATAAATTTCTAGAGTGTGCTTGTGTGTGTCTATTTTCCACCTGCGGTGTTCCCACACACACACAATTATGTTGCCAGTAAAAACAGGCACGCTCAGAGGTTTCAGTCAGTTATTCATCCACCAACATCATGATTGGGAGAGTTGTTTTTCTGGGACTCCTGCTCATCTGTGTGGCTGCAGGTAAGAAAGAAAAACACTCTTTATCAGAGTTACGTTCTAGTTTGAGAGTTGTTAAAAGACTATACAGTTTGTCTCAACAACTATTTTGATGGGTTTCATTTTAGATGCCATAGAATGAAACACGCACTGTTTAACAAAACACTTTGGAAGTTAATATGTTACATTGCCTTACAACATTATGTCAAAGCATATTTGACACTGATCAACGATTTAAAAAAAAATAAAATAATAATTGAGGTCAAAGTGAAAACGGACAATGAAATTGAGAGAAATATAAAATACAAAATTCATGTTTCAATGCTTTTCATAGACCTGTTACAGTATATTATATACTCACAGAGTTACCACATGTGTTTTTCAATGTTACATATAATATACTCTGTATTTATAGTATTACAATAATGGATCAGAATTATCAATAATAGGATCAAATGTATCACAGTACTGACCTTAAATAATCATGAATGTAGTTTACATATCTGGATGTAGCTTTGCATGCTAATTATATATATTTTTAATAATGCAGGTGGGTTGCTTACGCACTTGCATGCCAACATTTATGGTTCATTTTACAGAAGCTGAGGTGAACTCTGGACTCCTGAGGAAGGTTGGTGTGTGTGTGTGTGTGTGTGTGTGTGTGTGTGTGTGTGTGTGTGTGTGTGTGTGTGTGTGTGTGTGTAAAAGACAGTGACTGATTTAAAAAGTAAAGAAGTATAAACTATTTCACTCAATCCATTCCAAACATGTATTATGGTGAGTGCGCTTTCTTCTGAGGGTAAAGAGTGAAGGTGAAGTCACACCCGATCGTGTGTGTGTGTGTGTGTGTGTGTGTGTGTGTGTGTGTGTGTGTGTGTGTGTGTGTGTGTGTGTGTGTGTGTGTGTGTGTGTGTGTGTGTGTGTGTCCCTCCTGGCAGCCGTCCTGTCCGGACACGGCCGAGATCTTGGCGTGCCCTCTGAACCTCGCTCCTGTGTGCGGCAGCGATGGAAACACATACGCCAACGAGTGCACCCTGTGTGTCCAGAGACAGTGAGTACACACACACACAGCTGTTCCAGTCTCATGGCATTCACACAAGAAGCACAGCTACCTCCAAGTCGGCCGGTTGGAGGACTGAGTGCTGGAGTCGCCCTCTGGTGGTGGATTCATTTAAAGAGCAGAGTCACAATGCTGAACCCTGAAACCCCAGTTGAATATTTATTTTGTCTGGGACAGCTGTTGTCGATGTCCTCTCAAAACTTCTCCAAATCACATGAGTTGTATTTTGGGGATGAAGCGACTCTTTTTAGAAAGTGCTCTCCGTCTCTGTTTCTATGTCTCAGTCTTTCAAAAAAAAACAACTATAACACACAATTTCCTGTATTCAAAATCCTCATTGATGGCTTTGGACACTTTATCCCGACTGTCAGGCACATATGAGTTCATACGAGCTGTGATTTCCCAGACAAAAAAACATTGCTACACCTAAACTAAATCTCAGGTTAGCAGAACAGCACAAATCACATGCACGTGTCTTGTCATGTTCCTCTCTGCAGAACAACCAGGGTGGACATTTTGATCGCCAAAGAGGAGAGATGCTGACCTGTGCAGCCAGGGGATGATGTCATCGCTAGAGTGACCAATCGGGACCTGATTGTCGACCCAACATGGAACTGTGAAATTACATTTCCTAAATGTGTGTGTCATTGCAATGAATAATAAATGTCAACCAGCAGTATTTAACCTTCTGTTATTATTTTTTTTTTTTTTATCAATAACATCCATATCCCATAAAAGTGAACCAAGAGGAGGAAGATTTTTTTTCTTTTCTTTTTGAAATGGAAGTGATACAAGGTCAGGAGAAAAGAACATAAATGGTAACATGTTCTGAAAACATTCATTGTAGCAGGAGGCAGGAGGTGAATGGTCGGCTGGTTATCTCTTTGGGAGAGCGTAATGTTTACACTCCTTATACTGAGTAACAGTGCTCCATGGTGTTCAGGCGTGTGTGTGCGTGTGCGTGTGATGAAGGCAAACAGTGAAAGTATGAGCAAATGCTTCGGCGAAAGAAGCACAGAGCAACGCACTAGGAGAGAGGACATAAAAAAACAGAGAAATAAAGTATGGTATCATGGGGCCAAAGGTCAAATGTGTGAGTCACATGGTTGTAACCAGGAAACAATGAAGTAGTTTCAATCCAGAGGCTTTCCTTCGTCTTTACAGTAGAGCAGGAACAACGCTTTCTAGACTTCAGTGAACCGACTTATCAAAGATGATAAGAAACCAGGTGGAACATGTGTAAGTACAGACTTCATATACTCATTTACAACACTGCTCTTGACTTTGTTACTGTGTTACGTCGTAGCTGTTTTGAATCAAGACAGAGCAACATTAAACCTGAACCTGAGATTAATGATGCATTATTAACTCAAAGTTTTTATGATTTCTAACCTTTTTTGATTGGTTTCATTTTTCTGTTTAGTTTCTATTTCATCCTGCTTTCTGCCCCGACAGTTCACAACGTTTTAAATCAAATGTCACAACCTGTTTCTCCAGTGTTGCGAAGGTTCAGGACTGTCAGAGTGGAATCTCTATGGAGCTCTTCCTTCATCTTTCACTCGTACCAGCAGTAAGTTGTCCATATATTTAACCTGGAAGATGTATACTCCATGACTTCCTTTGTTTGTGGTCACTGTCCTGACAACAATCTCGAAAACATGAACTTGTCATGAAAAACAGCCCTGTTCTTTACCCTGGAATTGGAAGAGGGTGTATAGGAATACACAATAAAAACAAATACACGATACAACCAAGATCGGTACAGCAGCTTGATTAAAACTACTTTGATAAGACTCTGCTACCTTGAACATATTTCCACTTTCACACAGTTGCAGCAATGCAAACAAAGGATTTTTCCAGTAAGTTTTGTTTCATGCATCGAAGTCTTGTCTTCCAGGTGTTGATTGTGGGGGTGCTCTCGTTCCTCCAGAAGAGAGCCCAGAGACTGGCTATCGACCACAGATTGCCCTTCCTGGGGGGACGTTTTGCTATTGTGGTGTAAGTCAACAGCAGCATCAACAACTACAAATGTCAAGAGATAAAATAACAGCAATATCCGTTTCAATATCACAGCTAAAGTATTTCAAATTCAGCACTGCGGTTGTTCTAGGCAACAGTCTGAATACATATTAGTCTAAGAGCTTTGTTTGTGTTTCTGATGTCACTGTGTCCCAGGCCTTTGGATACCATTGGCAGCCTCAGTAATCGTTGGTCCTATGGGTTCGCATTTGGTGCTGTGTCCTCCAGCGTCCTGCTGCTGTTCTCTGAACAATACATCCCCTTCACTGTCCCGCCCTGGGCCAGAGGTACTCCCACAGCTTCTACATCCACACCTGTTTACCTTGCACACACAAGAAATTAGCAGGTTGACTGACGTGCTTTCTTATTATTGTCCTCAGCTATAGTGTATCTGGTTGGAGCGTTAGAGGTGGGCCTGGTCTATTTCCCTTTCTTTGCCTGTCTGTCCACACCTTTCAGAATGGCCGGGGCAGCGCTGGGAATACTCTACTCTCTGTCCTGGTAAATGTCTTGAAATGGAACGGAAACAAATATATGATGGTTACTTCACACAAACTAAAAAACAATTTGTATAAGAGGTCCGGCCGTATGGACAGATGAATGGGTTGATATGTGGTTGATCACATTTTAATAGCCTTAGAAAATACATCACATGTCTCGATGCTTGTTTTTTAGGATCATTGTTACAGTCTGGGATACATTCACCTGTCCTGATGGTAAGGTAGGTGAGTATTTAAGCTATCGTGAAAGCTGGTGGAAATGCGCCTGAGGCTGTGTGGTTTCCACCAAGGAACCAGTCACGTCCTACACAATTTAGGCTCTACAAAACATCGAGTTATGAAGAGCTGCCCGTCTTTTCATGAAAACCATAAAAGAATGAATGACTTTGTTTGTGTGGTTTAAAGATTCTTGGTAAATACCAGAAGTTGATTGTCCAGTTGCCCTGCATCCTCTCCCTCATCTTCCTCTTGGGACGATTTGTCTACATACTGGTGAAAGCTGTTCGACTACATCTGCAAGTGGAACAGGAGGTCAGCATGTATGAACTCATTGAAATGGTTCTTGCTGTGTATTTTCCCTGTGGGTGAAATCTAACGATCTAAAGTGCGATTTTATGTCACATTAAGAAAATCATGTCAACCGTTCTGTTGCATTTTATTCTCCGTCCCTATTCTGCAGTGAATATATATAATCTCAATCTGACTTTTCGAAACAATAAACTGTGTGTGGCTGTTAACATGCTGAATCTGCTGCCAGGATCCTGAAGAGCTGACAGAGCAACATCAGGTGCAGCACGTTAAGAGACTGCTGAGGAAAGCACCTGCACACAGGTAAGACATGTGCACCAATGCTGCTTTCAAGTGTCCCTTGTACACGTGGGTATGTTCACTTCTATTGCTTGTAAAGGGATCCACTATGGCTGAATGTTTTAACCAGTTTAACCTAAAAGGAGAGCACTTAAGTGTTTTCAAAAGCACAACATGACATCGATTTCTCTTTTACTACATTTCAGTATGTATCATTCGTTTAACTAAAATATGAAAACTATTGTCTGTTTAAACTATTTAAGCCAGTATGTGTCAAATGCTGTGTGTTAATGCAGTTCAATGTACTGACTTCAAGTCCATTCTGGTGTGTTCATGTGCTGCTGGTAGACTTCAGCACCAGCTTCGCGACTGCATTGATATCTTGATTAATGTCATTCAACACAATAATGATCCCAGCTGAAACAAAATGAATAGTTACCAGTACCAGAATTCAGCATTTGAAGACATCAACATACAGTGATACACACACACACACACACACACACACACACACAGTGGTTTTGACCCTCCTTTCTATCTTGCAGTAAACCCCGCAGCTGGTTCCGGAGCAAAGTGTATGAGTGGGACCCTTACTTCAAGTTCCCCAACAGGATCATCGGCACCGCCATTATCTCGCTAATAGGCCTATACACGGTAATGCGAGACAAAAATCTAATGTACATAAACTTTGCTTTGGAAACGTGATACCTAAAACACGTCACCTTTGCATCCGCTGGAGGTATTAATTTGTCTTTTTGTCATTTTTCCAGATGACCCTGGCAGACTATAGTCTCAGTAATGTGGCTTTTGACAAAGTAGACAGGTGGAAGAATACACTGAAACAGCTGGTTACGTCTTGTAACCAGACTGAACATCTGGGAGCCATGATACCACAGCTGGAAGAATTCATCGACGTGGCTAGAAGTGAGTTGGTCTGCTCCGCCCTCATAGTTTGTGTGATGAATGCTTCATTAATGGGTATAACAAGACAAGTCTGAGAACATTTACACCAAATGTTCCGCTGCTTCCTTGATTCTGGGTATTTCTTATCGGAAATAGGCCAATAATGAGCACCGCACTGATACACCGAGCCCTGGTAAATCAGTCAAGTTGTTGTTATTTGTGTTATTCCAGAGTCTTGGCTAGCTACCACCATCTTTGCTAGTCTCAACTCTGTAGCCTACTGCTTCCATGTCTTGGCATGTTACAGGTAAGAGACCAAAACATATCTGATATATACAAAATGTATTGAAATTTTATGATAAATGTCCCAAAAAACAAAGAAAATTGATGTAATAATGGGAAGTTAGATGAAATGTTATTACAAAAAAACATAGATGAGTGACATGGTGTACTGCCGTTATAGAAAACACTTGAAGAGGCTGTGGAAAGGACAGAAGGGTTTTATTCCTGAGAAGTTTCACAACCCTCGCTCTGCTGTCAGCGTAGTAAGTAAGACACACACACACACACACACACACACACACACACACACACACGCTTACACACAGCAGATGGCAGACGACTCTAGGGCAAATCAGATTTCAGCTTGGCACCAAATGCTTGCAAGCAGCATTCACAAGTGTGACATTGGCCCCAGTTTAACTGTTTCCAGGTCATGATGTGCGTGTCACAGTGGATGATCTGCATATTTTTCATATTTCAATGTGTGAGCGTGCCTTTGGAGGTTTCAAATATGCAGAGCATGTGTGAACATTTGCATCTCGTTTTATTTTGGCCCCCTAATTTAATGCATTAAAAACAAGTTTTCTCTTTCAATTTTCACAGGCTTCCATTGCAAGATACTCTGGTTGGCAAATAGCGTTTACATTGTGGGGTAAGCAGTTCATCTCCTGAAATACATACACTGAGCAGATGTACATCAGCACGGTATACGTTATGGGACCCAACGCAGAATTTGTCCAAAGCGAGATGTTTTCAGAAGCCTGGGGAAGAGAATGAGAGAAGCGAGAGGGAGATTTAGGAACTAACTTACTTTTCAGTGACCAATCGCTCTTCTGTATTTTCTCTTCAGGCTACCTGATTGTCCACTTTGTCCACTTCCTGTTTGCTCTGCTGTTGGTCTATGTGCTGGTTCTTCCTATACAGCATGGAAGGACACTGACCATGCTCACCAACCTGGGGATTATATTGTAAGCCGTCTTTCCCTGTGTTTGTGCATATACGATGGAATATGAATGGACGGTTAGATTGACAGTTAGATTTTCCCTGCCTCTCCTCAGTCTGACCATCAGTCTGGTCATCGCCCTGGTGATTCTCCAGATCGTTCTGGTTCAGATCTTCTTCCTTCAGGACAAGATGTCCCCTACCGATAAACACAAACCTCTGGCTCTCAACAACAGGTGGCTATATATTTCAATATGGATATTTCAGAAGGGTTGACTATAAAACCATCAGAAGAACCATCAGCCTCACTAAAACCCAGGTTCTCCATTTGCCAGCAAACACTGATTGTTTAAACGAGCGGTGCTGGTGATACAGAGATAGTTTTACAGTGTGGAAAATCCCCTTAATACAAAAATTAGATATAACTCAAAGCGATGTGAAATCACAGTTTCTCTTCCTCCTCTTCAGGAAAGCGTTCCACTGCTTCAACTACTTCTTCTTTTTCTACAACGTGGTGATGGGGATCAGCAACTGCATATTGAGGTTGCTGTGCAGCATTGTGGTGGGAACGTGGCTGGTGTCCCGCATAGACCGGAGCATTATGCAGAGAGGATATGAAAACATGGACGCCGGTAAGATGAACTTCAACCGAGACGTGTGTGAGACAAAAAGTGAAATATTGGTTTAAGCAGTTTGAAGAAGTTGTCTCCATGTTTACCTGCATACAATGTCACAGTCAACCCTGTTTTTCATACTATGGTGGAAGATAAGAGACAAAATATGATTTCATCATTATTATTATTATTATTATTTGATGGTGGTGTGGCTCATTAGAGTCATATTATAGATTAAGACTTTCATTCATCCAAGAACATTTTCTTCCAGGAGGTGGCAGCATTTCACAAAGCATCAGTAGTAGATCTCCCCCCCCCCCCCCCCAGTTGTGCATCCTAACAAATGTTGTTAAAAATACTGTAAAGTCAGTGCTATTTCTCATATATGTGTGTGGTTCTAACAGTATTTCTTGCATGTCCCAGGCTACAGTACCTGGATTGGGATGATTTTTGCTGACCACTATCATAGCAATCCAGTCATGGTGTGTTTCTGCCAGCTGCTGGTCTCCAACTCGCTGGAGAAACACACTGCGTCTGTTTACTCCACATTCAGCAACATGCCCTCTGGTCAGTAGTGTGTGTGTGTGTGTGTGTGTGTGTGTGTGTGTGTGTGTGTGTGTGTTTGTAGCTCTTACATGAACATCCATCCACTAAATAACTATTGCTTCCACCTGTCCGCTGACTAAGATTCACAAACGAATATCTTCTTTTTAAATTAGCTCTCAAAATGCACTATATTTCTGTAATGCAGTTTTGTTCGATCCTGCACAGATGTATTTGTTTTATAAGAGTATAATTTATCTTTTTACTGTGATTATTATTGGTGCATTTGTTCAGTTATCATTTAAATTTTTGTTTCTATTACATTTTTTACTTTTGGACAGAATCCCCTGTGAACAGCCGGGCTAGTAGGCGTTGGATGCTGTTTTATACCTTACTGAGGAACCCTCATCTGATCCTGCTCAGGAAGCACCACCTCTCTTCATCTTCATCATTACATGCACCATCACCTCCCCAGCCAGACACAGTGGTGCAGGCTCGCGTCATGGCATTCAAAACACAGAGCCGCCAAGCAGAGTCACAGTCCCCACCAGAGATCATAGTCACACCAGCACAAGACTGTTAAAAGAAACATTTCCATATATTGTAATCATGTTAACGTAAATACATATATCTGTTGGAATCTAAAATTGTTTATGTGTCCTTTAGTGGTTCTCCATGTCGTAGAAGGAGTACTGTGGTGTTTTCAACATCTGACTGATGAGTTATAATCTAGTTAATGTGATCAAATTAGGACACCTTTCTATCGGCTCAGAAGGAGCATTCATTCTTGGTAACTTACTCCAGTTGGATGTAATTTAAAGAAACTTTGAGCTTTAAACTTAACCTCTGTAGCATCTAATCTACAAATGGATGTGGTGCACTAAAGCTGGCCATCTTTCTGTCTAATAATGTTGATTTCATTAAATGCATGTGAGCCACAACTCATTCTTGTTTTATAAAATGTAACTGAATTTCAATGTGTGCCTAGCTGCTATAGTGTAAATTGCTGCACAAACAAATGCTTTCAGTTGGAAAAAATAAACAAACATTTTAAAATCTGCATTGCCGTGCTTGACTCAAAAAGAGTAGATGTGATTTCCATTCATGTTTTTAATATTAGCTAGCTAATCATGGTGCGCCTGACTTCGAATATAAACATTTTCGACAGCACTTAAAAGCAGCATCATTTCCAACTGCTATTTTCTGTACAACGGACTCGTTGGTCACCTAAAAAGTGCACATTTGATAAACGTGATCCTAACGTCGGTCTAAAAGGCGAACTAACCGACAACGTCCTTTTGAACTTGTGGGCGTAAACGTGCGCGACTGCGCGAGACTTTGAATGCGGCGAAACTGAAGACACCAGGCAGTTTGGCTAACGTTAACTCGTGAAAATCACAGGTAAGTTAGGGTGAATATGGACACGTATTTGTACGTCGTTAAAGTTGAGCTAATGCACTTGCTCATTGCCGTCACTTTGGGCTGGTTTGTCAAAGGTTAATTGAGGGCCGCTAAAAAAACAACTTAATTTCATGCTAGCTGCCAGCTAACAGCTAACGTTAGCCAGCGCCCACATTGTCCGTCTCTAGCTGGGCTGTTCAACACCCGTTGTCGGTCCAGACCCGTTGTTTCCGGGGAGATTTGAGTCCGATAATGGATCTCCAACGTTTGCACGCTTCGCAGCATTAAGACCAATGTGATAATACGTGGAAAACAGACGCACAAAACAACCTAAATTCATCAATTTGTTGCTTTGAGAATCTGAAATCGAGCCTGAAAGAGTGAAACTGCGCCGGACGTCTTTGACCTAGTTTGCCCCCCCCCCAAAACAAACCACCGCCGTAAGACTGAAATGTGTTATTGCAAGATACAAAAAAAAAACGTCGTTGAATATCTGCTTTTGTAATTAAAGTAAAGAAGAATGTTTAGCATATACAGTAGCTAGTTAAATATGATTTCTACCAAGCAGGGTTGGATTAAAATCTCACATTGGTGAGAAAATCCTAAATCTCTCCCTCCAAACTACATGGTAGAATCATTAAAAAAAAAATGTTGTAACTGGTCTAACCCCACTGATTTGATATGTCTGTTGTTTCTATTCTACAGCAAATCTCCCAGGATGTCAGACAGCGAATCCATCAAGAAGTTGTTGCGGTCTGTGCTCCAGTCCAGCAAGGATGGCGTGTCCATCAGCACCCTCCAGTCAGAGTACCAGTCACTGTGCGGAGAGAGCATCCCGCTGGGGACGCTGCATTTCTCAAACATGGAGGACTACCTCAAGAGCATCCCCTCTGTGGTCCGCTTGGAGTACCGCATGGGTAATGTAAGGGCTGTTTCTTTTTCTTAAATTTACCCATCTATAAAACCATTTTTTTACCTGGTTGTTAATTTGCATCCCTATACGGATACTCGGCACAAAACTCAGGAACTCATTACAACATAAAAAAAGTTGTTTGTAGGTCGTCAAATTTGCTAAACCGTCTACGGTATGCATCACTTTGTGAATTTCTAACGATACAGTGAATCTGCTCTGTAGATAATATGCTTTGCCGCAGTGTGTAAAGAGACGATTCACATTGCTGAGCTTGTGGCCAAGCAGAAGAGCGCCAAGAGATCCGGTCGCTCCCAATTGGTCAACTGCAAGATGAGATTCAAACCCTCAAACCCGTACATGCTTAACGGTAGGAGACACTTGCTGCTTGTTCTGTTACATCAGGGCACTCTGCTTTTTTTTAATGAAAACGAGGGATGAGAGGTTCAAACATTAACCTCTAACCTTTCTCTGTGTCTCACCTCCTCCTTTCACCCTACACGACCTATTTTCAACCTTTCCGTGCATTTAGTGAGGCCACGGTCCTCTCTCCGCCAACCCTCAGCTCTCGGTGCCTCTAATTGGCCAGCATACCGTTCTCGGTCTCATGGCGGCTACAGAGCCTTCAGCGCCTCTGAAGACTACAGGTTAAAAAAAACAAAAACTGTTTTTAATCAAGAAATAAAGAGCAGTAGTTGCACAATATTCAAAACAAATAAAGCAGAGTTTTTGATTGTGTTCTCTCTAAACAACAGGCAGTCGGACCAGAGGTTGAGCTCCTTCACCCCTGTCGAGCACAGACGACCGGCTTCTCTACTAGCTGTAAGACAGTGTCTCCTGCCTGACAGGTGAACATACACATGCAGCTAAAATCAGCTCTGTTAAATCACCTGGTTCTCGGTTATTAAGTATTCATTTCAGGTACTTATGCATTTTCTGTGTAAGTAGATAAGTATAAAAGCTAGCGTTCTAACACTACTTCGTAATAGTACTTACAACAAATAGTGCAGGGTGTTTGTATTGCGTTGCAGCTGGTTGCTGTGAAAAGCACAATATGCTCAAGAGACTGCTCTGTTGCCAACAGGAAAGAGAAGAACGTGGCAAACTGCCAGAGGCCCAGAGGTAAGTGGGACCTTCTTGGTGTGTCCTTTGTCAATGTCACAACATTTAATTGATTCAGCACAGAGAAGCTGAAGCAGATTCAAACGCACACAGAGGGAGAGCGTCTTCATTTCTCCTCTATCTTTACATAGCAAATCGTTGTTTGCTGCTATATTCATTTTTCTGAATTTGTCTCCGTTTGACGATGTAGCCAACATATGAGTGCGGGGGGGGGGGTTTGACAACTGGCGGATCACACAGTCATGATGAACAAAGTGGGCTTTATACAGCTGATGGTGATCAATTAAAAGTCCCACTGATCCACTTAGTTGTCATATGTCAACATCAGTTGTAATATCAACATTGGGCAACACTGCCAGAACAAACATCGGATTATGCTAACGAGACTAAATATCAATCTGCTGCACTCTGTTTGCTGATGTCAGCACTTGTTTACCTTTCCCTCTTCCTTCGTAGAATCCTCCACAGAGAAGCCTCCCGAACAAGTCTCCAGACTCGGCCAATCCCAGGTACAAACATTTTGTTCTCATTTTACCCGAAATGACCCGACAGCGTACATTTGAGTTGCAGTGCATTGCTTTTTGTGTGGTCGTATTTACATCACTAATAAAATGTTTTGAGACTAAATCAAAGGGTTAATCCGTGCCTTTATATTTACTTACATTACATTCATGAGTTCACACATTAGCCGAGCTCTCACCAACGAGCTTCTTGCATGTTTATTTTCGTTTTGCATAATGTTTAGATATTCAGCACTTGTGCCACATCCCAATCAGTGACATCACAGCGGTTGTTTTCCATCTGCTCTTTTAATACTTTGTACTATTTAGTGTTTTATTGATTTGATTAGAAAACTCAATCAGAAAAGCACAGGGACGTGCTTGTAGTGATCAATCATGTGACATCTCCCCAAACAGTCTTGTCTGTATGACGTGGAGCTGGTGCAGAGCAGAATAACTCAGCTCCTGAAGAGGTACTACACCGGGTTGTGGATGTCCAAACTCTCGGAGGTCTACAGTCAAATGTTCAGTCAGAAGCTCCACCCTCAGGCGCTCATTGATCTGGAGAAGTGGACACGTATCATTATGGTGAGTCAGTAGATAATTATACCCCCGATCAATTTGATATTATGAAGCCCTGTGAGTCTTAAGTTTGAGGCCTGTACAAACTCTATGACTTATTTGACATTATTTAAATACACAAGTCGATGAAGGTAGAAGTTTTTTTTTTTTTTTTTGATATTTTGGAATTGATGGTTCAAATCTCTTTCCTTCTTGTTCCATCTCTTGCTCATCTTTCACAGGTGGAGCAACCTTCCAGCACCAACCGAGCTGACCGCCTAATCTACCCTCCTCTGCCTCCCAAGCTTAGTATTGTTCCCAGAAGAAGCACCACCAACATGCCTCCAGCGTCACCCACTGATTCAAAAACTATCACCCCACCCATTTCTTCACGTCCCTCAACACTCGACCAACCTTCGTCCCCTCCCTTTCCTGTCCCTAAACCTGGAGGTTCCCCCCAAAGCCCCTTGGTTGAGCCAACCTTCATCTTTCCTCCGCAACCTGTCGCCGCGTCTTCCAGCAAACCGTTAAATTCAGTCACGTTGCGCAGCCCTGCCCGCAACCCGGCTCTTGCTCCGCAGCTTCCCAACTGTGTAACTAATGCAGTCAATGCCAGCAGTCAATGGAAACAAAATCGGAAGTTGCGTACGACTACCCACAACCAAAACACGCTGAACTTAACCGCGACCTGGACTTTCCCTGCGTCGACCAGCACTCCCTCATTGGCTTCCTCCCTCCAACCCGGCCCGGAAATTTTACCGCTTTTGAAGGCCACCTTCTCTGAATCTGCCCCTTGTCCTCCCTTGAAATCTCCCGCTGTCGTTGTGTCGGCTGAGGTGCGTCAGAGAATAAAGGAGCTCCTGTCCAAGTACAGTCAGGGTCTGTGGGCCCACGCTTTGCCCAAACTCTTTATGGACACGTACAAGATGCCGTTCCCCCAACATGTTCTGGACAACGTGTCTCTTTTGCTGGATATATTCACTGTGGAGTACCCCATGCCGCATGACAAGAAGAAGGTAAGTGAATGAGAGCGTACGCCAGAGTTACAGGAAGTCCTTACGAGTAGAATTGAAGTCGCGTTGTCCTCACAGTTGAAGCCAAGCAGCAACGTCTGGTGCTGAGATGTGAAGCCAACTAAAAACTGCAGTTCCTTATATGGCCACTTGATATCAATCCTCATAGATCTCCATGTTAAAATGCCCAGTTTTTGGCCAAAGTGTTGTTCTCTATAGCTTATTTACTTGTTAATGACGACTGTACGGAGGTGATTTTTTTTTATTATTTTTTTTATAACTTACCTTTTTTAAATTATTTTATGGCTATAAGTTGAGCATAGGGCGTAGCCGCTTGACGTTGCAAGTGTTTGCCGCATCAGGTCATGAGTTGCTAGCTGTCTGTCAGCTTTAATTCTTTAGGTGAGTTTAAGGACATCCATCCTGCTAACCTGTTTGTATGATTGTTTTTGCTGTGGTCAGGCCATCCTGTATAACTCCACAAGAGATGACATGGAAGCCACACAAGGCCACGAAGGCCAGCCGTGCAGAATCCACCTCCCTCCCTCTGGTCTGGAGGTCCTGGGTCCTGTGCCTCCCTCTCTGGTTCTTCCCTCAGAGCAGTACCCCTCTGTTCTGATTATTGATGCCAAGAGAAGCAATGCTGTCACTATAAGGTGAGACATTATTCTAGCAGACATCAATGTCTGCCATCCGGCTTTCTTGGATGTGCAGAATCTTCTATCTTATGATAACATAACTACTCGTGGTTGCTTTGTTAATGCAACACACGGGTTACTGTTTTTGGAAGACTGCCGTGCTCAGATTGAGAAAAGTCTCTCTCTTTTATCAGGTATATAGGTGAGAACTACTCGAACGCCCAGGAAGCCATGGAGGAGGCCATGCACTCTTTCTACAGCCAAAGCTCCGCCCACCGTCCTCTGTCCAAACCCGTTGTTGGTCAGCTGGTAGCAGTCAGAGGGGAGGTTGGAGAGGAGCTGACAAGAGCTCAAGTCATGGGTGTCACGGCCCCTAACAAGGTCAAGGTAACTAATTTAGTCAGTCGGCTGTCAAGTTTTACTTCGTCAAGGGGTTGAATACTGTTTCAGCAGTTTAGTGATGTACCCCGTTCAGAAATGTTGACTTTCACTCTTCACACAGCGTGTGTCAATTTTCAGTTTGCTGGAGGAAGACGGGGTGGCTGAGTGTTTCTGTAGTAAAGGAACTTTTGTCTTGTTGCCAGGTATACTTTATGGACCATGGCTCCTCTGTGGAAACCAGTGGGACTAATCTGCTGGAGCTGCACCAGGACTTCCTCTCTCTGCCCTTCCAGGCTATAAGTGTTGGACTTGCAGGTACATAGAGGATATAGATGGATATCGATTCTCCCCCCCCCCCACACCCACTGCTTCTCATCCTTCTTTGTTTTCTTTCTCCCAGGTCTAGAGGCGTTCAGCTCCCATCCACTGGTGCTGTCTTCTCTGGACAAGCTGGCAGTCGAAAAGATCCTGCTGATGGAGACATTGGAGTCGAGTCAACAGAATGAGACGCCCGTCGTAGTGCTGTACGACACGTCGCAGGATGATGACATCAACATCAACTCCGCCTGCCTGAAGGCTCTCCAGGACGTGACCATGAGCAACCCTCTGACTGTAAGGATGGTGGTGCTAACTACAAGTATAGTGTGACGCCTGCGTTATCTAACGATACTCTTTCTGTTGCCTGTAGGTAAATGCCACCTATCAGGATGTGTGTGTCACAAATGTGTGTGCAGATGGTATCGTCTACTGCCAGCTGCCCTGCAGAGGATCCGCAAGACTCAGCAAGTTACTGGAAGAAACGGAGAGCTTCTTCATCTCCCAGGTTAACCAGACCTTGTTTTTGTTAGGGAGCCTTGCCACGAAGATGTGATAGGATAAGGGGGGGATGTAAACCCACACTGAATCACAATACTGTTGCCACACATCTTTGAGACCTTTCGAGCACGTTGCAATTGATGCCACACCCCAATCTTTGATATGCCTTTGATAGCTGAAGATCAATCATATTAGACTTAATAAAAGTCGAAGCATTTTTCGCTGATTCCTAATCCGATAAGCCAGATTTATTCCTTCATTGGCTGCTGATGTGATACAGAATCAACTGTATATGTATCGGCTTTTACCATTTCACAAATGCAGTGTTACCCACAGCTGCTGTGTTTTGATATCGCCCACAACCACAAAAGTCGTCTCAGGAAAGGTAGACTGTCTTTAAAATTGTGGTATAATTAAATTATAACTTTAATTATACCGACCAGATGACTTCTGAGTCCCTGGTGTCCAGACCCTTCATTGGCAAGTTCTGTCTCGCCCGCTACAAAGGAAAGTGGTCCAGAGTGGAGGTAAGAACGGAACCATTCACGTTTATTTTCTTGAAAACCTTATATTATTTTGGACATAAAGTATCGGTGTTTTGCATTGTTGACTTGACAGTTTGAGGTCTTATTTCTTTGTTGTTGCTCTTGTTTTCAGATCACCAACATCTACGGAAATCGAGTGATCGAGATCCTCTTCATTGACTTTGGTGTCCCAGCAACTGTAGAGGTCACTGATCTCCGAGAGATCCCCCATGTTTTCCTCAAAAACATAACAGTCATCCCACCACTGGTCAGTTATGTGTGTGTGTGCTCTCACGTGTGCCTGTTTTGGGAGTAGCTGCACCTTAATCTTTAACCAATCAAAAGCCTATCGAGGCATCCTTTCTGTGCTAATTGATTTGAAGCCTCTGTCTATAATACTTATCGGTATCACTGGAGTTTCATACCAGACGGAAGACAAGTTATACACTGATACATTTTTTTCCTGCTTGACGTTTCTTCATCTCCCTGATGAGATCAGCTCCAGGTGCGTCTCCTCCCATACCGGACCCCAATGCTCTCCTGAAGTAGTGGGCGGAGCCCTCTGGCTGGAATGTAGACTCCTCTAACTACCAGCACCCTTACATGAGTTATATCATTTCAATTTCCCCCGAAACATGGAGCCTAATAAATTAATGCCATTATTCAAGAGAAACCTTAATCATATTCTGGGTTGTTTAATAATGACGTCATAAATGAGACGAGCGCGTTCTGTCGGTAGAAATCGGTCCTGCGCTTATAAACAGAACACAGTATAAATACTCAATGCAGTTGAGAGAAAACATCTCTACTCTGGCAGTGAGCATTACTGTCTTTATTAGTAAAAGTACACTGATCATGTGTGCAGACACAAAATCTGTCAGAAGTCTCTCCAGCTGGCAGCTGATCCAGCTGTAATCGGCTGATCCGCCGTCATCAGAAACAGACATCGCTTCACGTGACGCTACTAAGGAAAGGACGTCTCATTTCTCTTAAAACATATGTCCTCGTTTCCTCTGTCCTCGCATGGTTTCCTTGCGTATCTCCGTGCATCCCTGGTATGAGGGACTAAGACGCAAGTGAGGGAAACGGGGACGCAATTAAGAGACTTGGGATGTACACACAGGCTTTTATATTAATGAACATTGTTTCCAAAGATGCAATTGTGGTTGTTTGATGAAATTGTTAGTAATCCATGTACATTTTTGTGTATCTCTTCAGGCTATCAAATGTCGCCTGGCTGACGTCACAGTTCCAGAGGGAGACTGGAGCCCTGAGGCCGTTCTGTGGGTGAAGGAGGCTCTCCTGGGCTCTGAAGACTGTAAAATGAAGGTAACGTAAAGTTTAACACGTATCCGAGTTGAACAGTCACCAGTCTCAATTGTATGGAGCACCTTTGGGATGTGGTGGTTCGGGAGATTCGCAGGACGCATGTGCAGCTGACTAATGTCCTACAACTGTGACGCGATCATGCCAATATGGACCGGAATCCTAAGGAGTCCACGAATAACTCAAGAATTCAGGCTGTTTAGGGGACAAAGTATTACTCGGTATGAGAAAGGAGTACCAAATAAAGTAGCCAGTTTACTTTATGTTTATAATAAAGTCTTGACTGCTTGAAGCACAACAAGTGTGCAGTGTAGCAGGAGTGGTGTTGATATTTAAAATGTAAACACAGCAAATCAAACTTACAAGTAAGGCCTTGTTGGAGAACAGCGTAAAACAATAAGTCACCTCAAGGCCTCTCTAACTTCGTTTGTGTTTCTTTGTTATTGTTTTTTACCCCTTGTTCCCTCGTTTTAGATCTTGAAGTTAGACCAGCATGAAGAGGACCGGCTGGTCTACATGTACCTGTTCGTTGGTGCTGACAGTCAGGAGCTGGACAAGAGCTACAACCATCAGCTGGCCCAGTCCCAGTTGTGGCAGGAACTCACAACCCAGAACAACAACATAATCACCAGTAATAGCAGCAGCATGGAAACAGGTAATACTGCACAAGACACATGAAACACAAAGTCCTGTATAGGTGTGGGATGCTTCCCTCGATCACTCAGTATTTGTACATGTCTGGTCAAACTTCTTTTTTTGTTTTCTCGATTTTGTATTAAAGCACAGTGACTGGGGTTAAAGTGCTGACTAAGCTTTATGTACCTGTTTTTTTTTTTTGTTTTTTTTGACAAGGTCTCAGTGCTCTTGTAGAGAAGTTGACTCTGAGCAGCTCGGTCCCAAACCCTGTCACCAAATCCTCAACGGGACCTCTTCAAGGTGCAGAGGTCTCATCCGCTCCAGATGTGACCACCAAGCCTCTTCCCCTGCCTCCCCCACTGGAGCTCCCCCAGGTGTGTGCAGATGGACAAACTCTCTGTAGGGGCTCACTTGTCATGTGAGGGAGGTAGATGTAAAGTATACATGTTGTAGGCTACTGACTATCACACTTGTAATTTTATGACTCGTCAATTGTTAATTTGTAGATTTCTATTCAAGAGAAATATTTCTTTATGGCCCGTGGATCAAATCCATCACTCCACTGTCACCAGACTCTCAGCTGACAGTTCATTTGTCGTACCTGCACGCTGTTGGGTATAACAGAATGCCTTCAAATATTAGAATAGAAACCAATATTTCATCAATGCCTTGTGCTTATAAACACGTCATTCTCCCCGTCTTCTTTCAGCCTGGCCAGAATATGGATGTGTTTGTGCCCGTGGCCTGCCACCCTGGTTACTTTGTGCTGCAGCCATGGCAGGACCTGCATAAGCTGGTGGTGTTGATGGGAGAGATGATGCTCTATTATAACCAGACCAACTCGTCCCCAGACATCCAGAAAGGACAGATCTATGCTGCCAAAATAGAGAAGAAGTAGGTGATTCAAACCTGACGCATCACACCTGTTTTGGTCCTTTTTAATCATGGACAATATCTCCTGGTAAGTTCTTTTCTTTAGTTTATTTATTAAGCTAAATTAAACTAGTTTATTTGATTTGGACGTCACCGTAGCATTAGAATTGTAACACCAATGTATGCACAAGGACCAGATGCACTGTTTAGTGTTTGTAGTAGAACATTAATGAACAAACAAACTAAGCGTTAAAGAACTGCAGCACTTTAGGTTATGGAGTTCATTTATTAATCATTGATTAATACAAATTGACTAAAGAATTTGTAAATGTATGAATCGTCTAGATTACTGCCTTTGTCTCAGAGACTCTGCACCGCTGTGAGGAAGTAAAAACAAGAGGTTGCTATTGTCTGATGGTTAATGGCTTTACTGATGCGTGCCTCTCCCTAGTTGGTACCGAGTGCAGGTGAAGGGGATTCTGGCCAACGGGTTGGTTTCTGTGTTCGATTTGGACTACGGCAAACATGAGCTGGTCCGCAGTACGCTGCTCAGGCCGTTGATAGAGGAATTCAGACAGCTGCCCTTCCAGGCCATCACTGCACAACTTGCAGGTGAGTTTGTTCCTAATTCTCTCGGTAGCGTTGCTGTTAGATCTGCATCAAAGCATCCCATTAAATAGGAATTCTGTAGGATTACAACCCACTGCACGCACAGTGCATTCTCCCATCACATGTTCAGCAATTACTGCTGCATGATCTCAGGTAAGTTCTGATGATATGGAGTGACTATATTCTATATTTTGATATTGCAGATAGCATAAAGTAAAGTACACCGATAAATAACTTATCGGCTTCTGCTAGTTTTTGCTAGCTAGCTGTTACCTTGTGGGATGTAGCTTGATCGAGTATGCTAATTGAGTCGTTTTAATTAATTTTCATTCATTTTTAGTGATAAAAAATTTCTCTCTTAAATCGGTTATTCACTTTAAACCGTAAGTTTGCACACGCACATTGTTAGCTTGAATGTTCAATATACCTCCCCCCCAATAGTTCACTTGCTAGCTAGCTTACTCACAACATGGCTGAATCATCTGCATATTAGATACAGCATGAGCAAATAAAATCCTTGCATTTCCATTTTCAGCCCATAAAACGTTTTTAATTCCCATGGAAAATGTCCAACTTAAATATTTCTGGAATTTTATCAGCCAGTCAACTATAGTTAATGGAATGCCACCCTGTCAACACACGGTGAAGCAACTCGGGTTATCATTGTGAGTAGCAGCACCCTGTTTGTTCTGCAGGTATGAAGCAGCACCAGTGGTCAGAGGAGGCCTCCATGTTGTTCAGGAACCACGTGGAGGACCGAGCGCTGGTAGCCCAGGTGGAAAGTGTGTCAGAGGTCAGAAGTCAACTCTGGCAATGCAGGTTGACCGTGTTCCTGGTGGACACTACATTCGAGGACAAGGACCTTTGGATTCACGGCATGATGGCAGACATCAGCAGTGAGCTGTCCTAGGATCTCTTCTCATGCATGTTGGTAAATGAACCAGCAAGCTGACTGTGAGTCTTACAACACTTGTTTTCATTTTCTGAAAATGGTGAACTTTGGAAGCCAAACGTCACTTCCTCGGCCCTTGGTTAATTTTTCAGCATTCCTGATCTTTCTCCCAACCGAGACATTGAAGAAGTCCCTTTTTATTTCAATTTGATTGTAGTCGAGGCTCATGTCAACTTGAGATGGATGTTTTATTGAGGAGTTCATTTTATTCTGAAATTAAGGACTGTTGCATGAGTCTCAGGGGCACTATTGAGGTCAAAATGAATGAGAAATAAAGATGGGAAACATCCCACGCCATCAATTGTTGCTCTTGCCAGTCTTCATTGTAAGACAAACCAAACTCACTCTAATTCATCAAAACTTTAAAGTTATGTCACTTGTGTGTTGCATGTTTTGTGTCTTATTTTCTACTCTATGCCCCCATCTCTTTTATTTTTAGTTTGCTGTGCCTTATGCATGCAATGGTGTGGCTCATGTGTTGTGTATATGTTTTTACATGAATCCAATTCAAATGCATAAATCTACATCTGCTATGAATCTACGTTGTTTAAACTTCACCGATGGGAACATCTTGTTTAATAACACCCCATGTTACTTGGCTTTAAAGAATGTTGTAATATTTCTCGTGTGTCAACATGAAAAGCTGTTCACAAGGTTTTGTTCAATTAAAACATTTCGCCAAAAGAGGGTGTACTTTGACTGAAAGCTTTAAAAATGTTTTTAAAAAATGTACCGAGATGGGCCAGTGTCGGGCAATGTGAGCTGCCATGTCAGGATGCACTGCCAGTAATAAAAGAGCTTTTAAGTAAAGTTAAAGTCCGTCTGGTGGGGAAACGAATCTATCAATTTGAACTGCAAAATAAAATATTTTTAAATTGCCGTAGCTTTCTGACAAGTAGGAAATATTGAATCTGTATCTGACCTCCCAGTAATAAATGTTTAAAATATGTCAGAAGACCCAACCGACACTTTCATTGCCCTTAAAATGATAAGGCAAACTTTAAATGATCAGCTGTCTGTTATAGGACGGGCACCTAGCAGATGAGCTACGTCACCTGACGGTTTTAATATTTTGATATTTCCCACCTGGCAGGATAACAACCTCAACTTAAAACACTTCATTTCACTTGTTGCTCATCCTGAGAGTTGAAATTGTGAGAGAGACTAAATGTAACTGTATAGAGTGTATCCGTTATCAAACACACACAGGGGTGAAGATGCGGGTCGCAGCATGAACTTGGTTCAGGGCTGAGGAGCAGATGTGGCACATTCCATCAGCAGAGGAAAAGAGCTAGATTCTCTCAGGTGGTTTAATTTAAGTAAAAGATAAAATAAATTATTAAGAGTCAGATTTAAAAAAAAAAAAAAAAAGGGGCCCACTAGGCTGGGAACCACTGGACTGAACTACCATGTACCTAGTACATGGTAGTTTGAATAGTTAATTTATTGAAGTTCAACAACTAAAGTGTACGTAATGTGATTTAATATGTTTTCTGGGTGCAGTAACTTCCTGTAATCTCAGCTGTTTACGTATAGCCTTCGTGCTAAGCTAACTGGCTGCAACTTGTAATAGACAGACAGGAGAGAGTATCAGTCTTCTGATTTAATGCAAGCGTTCGTCGCTTTGGAAGGACATGTAGTGGAGTATTTTTACATTATTTGAGTAAATCCACTGCATATTGTGTGCACGAGAAACTAACATGAGCGGTGCACACTTAGCAGTATTTGTGTACGCATATAACGTTCTAATTTCACTTATTGAATGACAGTGAATCAATGAGTCCCACTATGGACGCAGTTGCACTGCATGACATCACTGGAGTGACAGGGCAGCCGTGTTGGGGGGGGGGAGGAGAGGGAGGAGGAGGAGGATCTCTCCCCTTAAGTTTACTTTGCCCTTTGCGGGAGATGAGATTCAGCCTCCGCAAACCCGCCGAGACACGACCAGGGACGTGGGGAGGAAACTCTGAGAGCACGCTGCTTAAATCTGCTGAATTCAGGATTATCTGCGGGTCATGGACGGTGTCGTCTAGTTGGGAGTTTTTTTGCGGATTCCCGGGTTGTGCGCCTGCAGCAGAGCGGACCTCGCAGTGCGACTCCAGGCGGCTCTGAAGGAAACCATATCTGGTCAAAGTATTCGTTGCTGTCACCCGGCGGGACTGTCCGGCTATAAATAGCGCCGGAGGAGGTACGGAAATAAATGCAAAAATTATACTGCACACTGTACAACAGTCAAATTAGTGAAGATCACGCAGCAAGGTTCAAATAATGTACAGGACTACGCTTTTGAAGTACTGCGAGAAAATAAGTTTCCATGATGTCATTGAGAATAAAGGAAGCTTCTCCAGCAATACTGAGGAATAGCTTTTTTAATTTGTATTTCTCTGTTAGGGTTTTCATCCTGTTGGAGAATGTCTTACTAGCTGTTGCATCCCTCTTAAAGTAACGGCACTCTGCAAGTCCTAACACCGCAGTCCTGCACATATGCGCATTGTAACGCAGTCCTTATTATAAACGGTAGGGAACCTGCAAGAAAAGTCCTGCACTTCTCTATTTCGACTCATTCGATGCCTGTCATCCGATTGCCAAATGAGTAGTTATTATTATTATTATTATTATTATTATGTGCTTCATAGGGCTCACCTTATGTATTTACATGTTTGCAGCCTACAAACTTAAGTTAGATTTATAATCACTCTACAAAAAAATAAATAGAAAGGCTTGAGTTATGATCCAAATTGTGTCACCTTGGTGGTTTATGATGTGATCAAAAACAGTATTCATGTACAATTTTAGTAGAAAATGTAAAACCGTTGCATTATTGAGTGCTGTGAGATGCATACGTCACTGCAGAGCCTTAGCCTTTGTAGCTTAAGCTTTTTCCTCTTAGTTTTTGTTGTTGTAGGCTGCAAACCGTGTTGTATACTTTGAGACTAAACTTCAGCTCTGGTCACCTCTACAGGAGCCATTTGTCCCTCTTTGCCATGAACTCACTGTTGCACCGTGTTTCACCATAATAAACGTGCGCTCATGAGTATGTTCTTCCCTTGGATTAGTAATGTATCAAGTTAGCAGCTAGCTGACCAGTGAAGTGACTCTTTGACCTCTGCAGAATGCACAAATGGCCAGACCTCAAGTCCAAGGCAGCTAGTGAGCTGCTCGGCCCCTCATCATACACACCGTGACATACGACTCCTTGCTGGTCCCCTAAGTGGAGACTACCGATGGGGTTTCGTTTCCTCGGCACTAAAAGTCGGTAGATTGTAAGATTGTCTAAAAATTACTGATCTAGACTTTCACTCTCTACTCAACGTCACGTACAACACGTGTAGAATAAATGGTAACTTGACATACAAAAATACACTTTATGTAGTGTATTCATCTATTTTGGTAAGCATCTATGCATTGTATCAGTGCTCACCACTGTGTAAGTGGACACCCTTGTTACAGTCATAGCAGAAAACACACACACAGACTGTCCGGTAGCTTATCTCAGCCACACGCAGAGGAAAGCTGACCAGTTGCTTCTCAGCTGTTTTCTGCTGGGCCGTCCCAGAGACCACTCTTAACAACTGCAATCTTGCAAAATAGTTTAGACAGACACCAAACAAATTGTACTCCTCTACCACAGAAGATAAATAGCATGAAGCATGATGGAATCTGTAAGCAATGTCTCGTTATAGGAATATTGTGGTTATGTTTTGTTACCAAGTCCACTGCTCCACCTGCAGATCAGGATATTTAAGGTGTTTTAGAGTTCAATTTGTCAATTTTAGCATCACGTTTTTATTTGTATGTGACTCTAAAGAATACTTCCTCGTTAAAGTTTGTGTGGAGGGTAGTGCCTCCTAATCAAGCTCCTATGTTAGCTGAGTTTGGCCTAAGCTTAGAGAGGACAGGAATTTATCTTGAACTTCCCAAACTGAGGAACGTTTGAGTGAAATGTTCACACGACACTTACTGTACATGTGGTGATTTGTTTTTGTTCATGACAGTGTAAGCTGTTTGACGACATCAAGCAGGACGTCGTCTAAAAGTCTGCTGTGCTCTCGGCTTTGTTTTATGTGCTGATTTATTGGCTGAAGGAGTTTTCTGCCTCTCTGTGGGCATGTGTGAGTTTTTACTGAGATGTTTGTGTATTTCACAGCAGAAAAACTCGGAGCAGCTGTTACAGAAGTAGCTGTTTTGTGTAAATCCGGTGTAAAAACAGATGTTTCAGGTGTAATTTAACACCATTTTTAACGTTTTGTTTCACACATTTGCCGTGATAAATGCTCCTGTATCAGTGGTGCTATTCTGAGAGGCTTTAGGACTGGACAGGCCTTGTTCAGAGGTCAAGTGTTGATGACGTTACACGATACATTCTGGCTCAGGTCAGTTTTAATTGTCTCTCCTCTCGGCCCAGTGAATGTCCTCCAATGGCGCAGAAGCTGGTAGAAACGCAGCAAATACAGGCACAGGTCTGTTTGATATCATCAGATGCAGGCCGGCTTCTTCCAGCAGACCTGCAGCGTTACTTGGAGTTCATCCCAGTTCTTCATCTTCAGTTTTGGAAACTTGTCTTGTCATGAAGCTTAGAGAAAGCAGAACCCCCCCCCCCCCCCCCAAAAAAAAAAACGCTTGACTCCACCTGTTAGGAGCTCAGCCAAAACACACTTGCTGACATACTTAAGATCAAAAAGACATCTTTATACTCACATTTACGCTCCTTGAATGCAATATTTTCTGCATTTCGGTTGGGTTTTTAAGCTACATCTCAACTTTTTCTGCCTAATTTGAGAACGTTGTCATCCTTTGATGCAGGCTAACTTATCATTAGTGTTGTCATGTGGACATCTATCAGCAGCAGCTCACACCTTCCTTTCAAACCCTGACCCACAGTTTTAAGGAGCCGTGGCTTAGAGACGAGCGTTCGAGCGCGTGCCGAGCGTTCGGTGCTGTGACCCTCAAATGCTCTGCTGCAGTTCATCCATCATCAGTCATCTGGTCCTACAGCCAAGACTGACACGGAGAGAGAGAGAGAGAGGAAAACAGATCTCTAGTCTGTCCACACTGCCAGCGGAGAAGGAAAGAAAAAAAACGCTTTTCCGGACAAGATAGGTTTATCTTAGGTCGACTTTTACATTTTTCTGCAGAGAACTTTGAGGAAAATACACAGCACTTTTGGCAGTGATTCATGGCAGAGGGGTCAGCAACAGGGTTTAATACTGGGAGGGAAGAGCAAGTCAACAGGTGAAAACTTACTCTGCTAACTAAAGGCTCGTTTGCTGTTAGAATCACATAAACGGGTAGCTGCAGTTGAACTAAGCTCGATGAATGTTTTTCCATCTGTTGTTGAGAACAGCGGATTTTTATAACATCAACAGGTGATCTCAGCTTGCTACCTTCAGTGACCTCGCATGATTTAGCACTGATATTCTTGTCAAAAGCATTTTCCTGTCCCCTTCTACATTACCCAGTAGTTTGACCAACTCCCAACCAACAACACGGTCTGAGTCATCCCTTTTCAAAATGAGTACTAGATGAGGCATGAATATTCTTATTTTTTTAATCCTGCGCACCATAAATAAATGGCCGACATTCTTGCAGAACATCACTTGACACCATAGATAACACCATTTAGTGAATTATGAACCTATGCAAAATTGTTTAAAGCTGTTCATTAACATGTTATATAATGTTGTGTAAAATTGTGTATTGTGTTTTACCGGTTTTCTTATCTGAGCAAGAAAACGAATACATTTACAGATTTCAAATGCCAAATGTCCTTTTCTACCAGCTATACCCTGACGAAATCCAGCTATCAAATCCGTTGAGGTTAAAATGACACAAGCTGCCTCATCGGGAAACTTGGAAGTTGAAATGAATCTTCAACTATTAATCTGTCCCCACTCCATGCTTTTGCTTCCTCCAGGTCTCTCTCTCTCTCTCTCTCTCTCTCTCTCTCTCTCTCTCTCTCTCT